TATACACTCCTGAAATCTTGCTTCTTTCTTCTTGAGCTGTATAAAAATTATCACGGCACATCATTAGACATAGTTTAATAGTTGTCGAAGCTGAGTTATTGACAAGTATCATTGAAACAATTGATGACTTTCCAGTCTTTTATAAAGATAAACATCGAATTCTAATTAACTTGCATTAATAAATTTTATTATATTGGATCATTAAAATATCGTATGGTAAAACAAGAAGCGATATGTTTTGTTTAGGTTTTTCTAAATTCATGGATATTATTTCTTAGAGAGTTTTTGATAGTTTTTAGAAGTGGAGGAGATTAAAAATTTGACACTCAGTCGGAAGCTATCTATCTGACAGAATGTGACTGAGAAAAGATGCCCTCCTAAACTTGGCGGAGAGTTTTTGTGATAACAGCTCGAAATTTTCGCCGACACAACGTGAAAATTGAGAGACTTATTCACCCGAGCCTCATACTACATCGACACCTATGATTCTTTATTAGTCTTTGTTTGCTGAGGAAGTTTTTCAATTTTGGGTTACCAAATGAGCTATCTTTGAACCTTGTTTGTTGAATGTTTCTGGGTCAAGATCGTTTTTTGAGGGACGATAAACATCGTAATTTGACTCCGGGTGTCATATTTCTGGGATGAATATTAAAAAGAAATTATTTGGTTGTGTATTCATTTCAAGTGTACAATTTTTATATCTGTCATTGATCCGATATGCATTCTTTAGATTGTTTATATATATCAAGAAAATATTATGAATGATTGTTACTTTTTCTAGAAATATGATATCGTCATATATATATATATATATACATCGATCAAATAAATATCCTTCATATTGAAAAGTTTCATTATGTTGGAAATAATCTGACGTTTTACTCCATCATCTACGTGTATATTATTATAAATAAAAAAGAGATGAAATACAACAATAGTTACATATCCATATTAAATATTATCAGAAACACATGTAATTTTCATATTTGTTAAATTTTTTGTAATAGTCAATAAAAGAACATTTACCATTCGATAATATATTCGTCATATCGAAGTTACATCTGTCGACGAAGTTACTTCAATTGAACTAGATAACAAATGAATATCAATTAATTCAGGATATTAAAAACAATATGTAAAATTAAGTTCAAGTTTTCATTTTAAAAACATTTGTATCACTTTTTACGAATAAGAATAGAAAAAATTATTCGGAAAAATCAAATATTATTTTTTTTTATAATAGTTTATTTGATTATGGAACTATTCTGATGGTGCTTCGGTCCGTAACTGATAAAAGAGATCTCTAAAATACTATTCTCTGATATAAACAGTACTTCATAGTAATAAGACAAAGTCTAATTATAAGGACACATGGAATGCTTCGCAGGATCAGACTTACACTGAGCCAAAAGAAAAGCTTCACATGACTGGATCTTTCAATACCAAATTTCATTATTATTTATGTGTCAGTTGAACATAAATTCTGTTAGTGAAATTAATCTCAAGGAAAAAGAACATATCAGATAAACATCATACGAAAAATAGTAGATAAAGTTGCAAGAGCAATTTGTGACCGTGAAATACTATGAGTGAGATGTTGTAAAGATTAATATTTTGAAATTTATTGTTTATATTGAAGCATTTGAAGAAAAACAATTTAGAATAACCATTCTACATTCTGAGCAGATTTATTCACCTTGATATTGAGTTAATTTTTCCTTGTAAATAGGTGCTTCACATATCTTCATCTTTAATCATGACTTTTATGCCAAAATGAAAACAGATAGTCACAACAAAAAACGGAAAAGATCTCGAGTCAAAATATATTGTAGGACCTTTGCCTATTCTACGTCTATGTAATGTTTAAATCAAAGAATAGTATTTTTAGAGATCTCTTTTATCAGTTACAGACCGAAGTACCATCAGAATAGTTCCATAATCATATAGACTATTATAAAAAAGAATAATATTTGATTTTTCTGAATAATTTCTTCTATGCTTATTCGTAAAAAGTGATAGAAATCTTTTCAAAGTGAAAACTTGAACTTAATTTTACATATTGTTTTTAATATTCTGAATTAATTGATATTCATTTGTTATTTAGTTCAATTGAAGTAACTTCGTCAATTTTGCCTGTCGAAAGTTACAACTCCGTCGACCGGTGTAATTATCTCAATAGTTATTTTGATACAATTTCGTAAGATTATTGAAATGTGCCAATGAAATGTATTTCTTATTTCATTTTATTTCTGTGGGTCAACTAGTTTGGGCAATTAAACCTCATCTAATACAAAGACCACAGTGGCAGTCTGCAATCGTTGTGAATTATTATGGTGAAATGATTCACAAGATTCGATTATCTGATGGACAACGTGCGAAATGTCATCAGAATCGAATTCGTCTTCGTCATTGTTCAAATGGTCACTCATCTTATATCGATATTTTACGTGATGATCTACTGAACAAGAAGCCACAATTCAAAACGACTCGACTTCAGTCTTATTCCTCTTCAAGTATTAAATCATTTCTCATAAATGGTTTACTGGATACTCCGATGGAAACTACTTGTCAATAGAAGTCAATTCAAATCTTCACAAGTACTGATTCCTACACGTCCTCGTCATAATCACAAACCTTCCCCCATGGCAAACACTTAGTGTTCATTTTAAGGGAAGAGGTGTAGGTATTCTTCCAATACACAATGTATTGGTCTTTTCCAGTTGACATCATATGTCATCATATGGACATTTCCCTTCGTTCTTCTATCACACATACATATGAATATCTCCTTTATTCTTATGTATGGGACCATTCCTTACCATGACCCTGTATATATAGGTGTGCATCTATGTATATGTGTGTGTAGTTCTCTCTTCTTCTCTTCTCTCATATTCTCTTCCACCTTGTTGTTGCCTCTACAATAAACACCCATACACACAAACTTACAATTTCCAATTAAAAACTATTAAAATTTTTAAAACTTCTGAGGCTAGTAAAAGCAAAAATTTTATTTATCGATGTTTATCATGAAGAAAATAATTCTTTCGATTATCACATAAGACATTTGTTTTTCTCTCATATTTATAAATTATTATTTCAACATTTACTAAATGTAATGATGATCAGCGTTCTTCAATGATGCATGAACCATCTATATTTAGCTCAGCAATCCTAAGTGATGTAGACGCTCATCGATCCCATTTAAACACCTTCATTTTAATTGTTACATTTTTACGTGATTATTATGACGGATATTAACCTCAGAAGATACGAAAGAATAGAGGATTCATGATTCCTAACCCTCATCTTCATATGTGTATGTTTGAATAGTGAATGATCATTTTCAATGAATTTCTCGAATCATAACCTATAGTTGACCTTCATACTTTGTGTCAATTATCGAAAGATATTTCAGGATATCTAATGCAATTTGGATATGAAAATTATATTCCTGTAGTAGCTGTTCAAAGCTAACACTTCAATTTTATATTGTAGATAGAAGAGAATCCGAGCTGCATTTTGACACGAAGACACAGTCTTCATCTTTTTCCACTCAGGCAAACTATTAGCATTTTATAATAAAAGAAATGAAATGTTTTTTATCTCACAAAAAATTCAGGAAAAGAAATCTAAACTTGCTTGATGATCTGCATTTGTAGTTGAAAATAATTAAATAAATTCAGAAGTTCGTAGTTATGACAATCGAACAATGTTATTCAAAAGATTAAGCTACGTAGATGTATACATCCGATAAACGCCATCTATTGAACTTAATTCAGTTTTGTTTTCTTAAAAATAACGACTAGTTAACTCAAGTCCATTTTGTAAAAAACCTTGCACAAGAATAATTGTAAACATTGAACAACTAGCAAAAGATCATTCTCTAGAATAGATACATCACTAATATGGTTGATATACGCTGTACAAGCAGCACGTCCATAAAATAAAATTACTTGAAGTCTGTCACTGTAATGAAAGCGTATTATGCGTAATGGAGCTTGTTCATATTCATAGTTGGCTCGCTTATTGAAATCTAGTATAATACGTTCTGATGTAATGAACATTGATCTTCGAAAGTTTTGAAATAGTACTACTTATACATTAAAATAATTAATTATTAGCATATCTCCAGCAATCATGTCATTCTAAATTACACTTGTGTCTAATCATTCGATCGTTGACTGCCTCTAATATGATCAAATTGTTAAAAAATTTCATATATATTATAATCTGCAAAGCTCAATTCTCAATGACGAATTATTTTTATCAAAACTTATTCTATTCAATTGATCTAACACATATCAAATATTAAGTGAAGCAGAACATCGTACTTTTTTACTATTCTTTTCAGTTGCCTATTAACAATATATACTCTCAAATAACCGTGTTGGTGGTTATATATAGTTTCGTCTCAATGATAATAAATCATATATTATTGACGGGATGGTTGTTTGTATTAATACTTTTATCCATTACGAATTTGTTTAGTTTTATGTTGATATATATCTAAGACTTCTATGACCATCCCATAAACCACTAATTGATGTTAAAAGAAATACAGGTGATTTAGAACGTGATGTTGATAGGCGTTGAAAACCTTACTCATTATTTGACAGTATATGGTCTAGGCAAAATATAAACGATACGCATCATTTATTATGAATGCAAACACAAGTGGTTATTCGTAGAGAAATATTACATGTATATATATATATATATATATACGCATATGAATACGAGAGAGAGAGAAGAAAAAAAGGTAAGAAAAGCGAATGCATTCATAAGAAAGAAATCTATCTGTTAGATTGACTGACATATTATTATATACAAATGGCTTTCTTTTCTATCGACAAAAAACAATGCATAGAACAAATAAAATATTATTAGCGTTAACAAGAGTCAATAAAAGTTAAAATTATTTTCGCTTTATTCTATTCGAATTGTGATTGTACACACATAAGCATACAGTTCTACTTCTTTTTCTTTTACACATATACGTCATGTCGTCACTAGTTATTGGCCTGGAAATCAATGATAGTCATATAACATCAGCTCTTGTACGTATTGAACAATTGCCACATGACAAATTTTCTATTGAAAGAGATACGTATTTTACACGTACATTTGAAATAAATACAGACAGTGATCCCAGAAATATTATCTCTAATTGGATTCAGTCTATTAATGATGTTCTTCTTGATTTTGTTTATAATTATAATGAAAACGATGCTATTATTGGTATTTCTATTGGTATGCCTGGTCCTATGGATTATGAATCAGGTACATGTTGTATTCAATCACCAAAATTTAACAAATTTTTTGGTCTTAACATACGTTTATCACTTGCGCAAGGTCTTAAAGATCTTATTGCTCGTTGGAAACATGATTATTATGATAAACGTTCTGCAGAATCGTCAATATCACCGCCGAAAGAATTAACTATTTTTGATAAATTACGACAAAAAGCACCAAGACGAATGACAATCACACCACCAACAACGCCACGTATTCCAATTACCTTTAATGTACCACCAACAACACTTGAACAGATTGACGAAGAAGAGTTTTTTAAGAAAAAAACTATAGATTATTGTGGTCAATTGGATGAGGAAAATAATATAAATGAGGAAATTGAACCAAGTTCATTAATATGTCGATCACGCCGTGAAACATATTTTCATGACATTGAGATAACTTCACCACGAAAACCTCTGACAGCCAACGATTTTAGTCCGAGATTATGGACAGTTATTGAACAATTAGCTCACATACCAATTTCATTCTATAATAATACAGTATGTTTCGCTTTAGGAGAAGCAAATAATGATTTTCATCAAGGTTATGAACGTATTCTTGCTTTAATACTCAGTACTAGTTTTGATTCAGCATTTATTGATCGAGGAGAAACTATTACAAATCGAGAAGATGTTCCATTGGATGGTATGCTATCGAATTGTCCTTATGATCAACATTCAACAGCTGATGATTGGTTTTCTACTCGTGGTTTAATTAATATTCATAAAAAACTTCTTCGAAATGAACTTCCTGATGATAATTCCGGTACAAGCAGTATGACATTATCAACAGATGAACGACAACAAAATGATGATAATTTATTAATTACTGAACATCTTCTTGTTCGACAAGCAATAAAGGGTGATTTAAATGCAATAAAAACATTGCAAACATTTGTTCGTCTACTAGGACAATTTCTTGTACCATATATCATTAAATTTCGTACTCAACTTATTGTTATTGGTGGTAATCTTGCAGAAGTTTGGTACTTACTTGAAGATGAACTTAATTTTACTATTAAACAATTTTCTGAAGCTCATATTTATTTTAGTCTTTCACAAGGTAAATCAGTATGTCTTGGTGCTGTTCAACGGCAATCTTTAGAAACACCTAAAACTTCTTTTCGACAAACTCATCAATATCTATTACCTGTTGTAAAAACTATTGATACATCTCAATATGATATATATCCATCTCATAGAATTCCTCATGGTTATATTGGTATTGGACATCTAACATTAAATGAAAAATTATGTAATTTAATTGATAAATATAATATTTTATTAATTGATGGTTTTGTTGGTACATGTTTTAATGAATATGCACATCAATTAAATAAATTTTATTCGGATAATAGAAAAAAAGAAAAAAATTTATCATCATTACTTTTTTATGATAGTCGAACATTTTTACAAACAAATTCAAATATTCAACGAGAATCATATCTTAAAGATCCAAAATCTTTATTTGGTAAAGTTGGATCTGATTTAGACTTTAAAAAAGATTTTATTGATTTAAAAAAATTTCAATTTTTCAAAGATAATCTTTCATATCCATGTGTTATTATTGGACCTGGTTCTTCATACGTTAATAAAACATCACCATTAATTTATATTGATTTACCTAAGAATGAACTTTATTATCGTATTGCAACACAAACATCATTTTCCTATTTAAAACCAACACGAAGATTATTATCTGATAATAATGCATTAACACCAGCTATGTATGAACAGAAATGTCTTTACTTTCTTGATTATCCAGTTTTTAATAAACTTAAACAAGAACTTTTATCTCGTATAAATTATTTTATTGATGGTCAACGACCAAATTGTCCAACATGGATAGCTGGTGATACATTTCGTCAAGCACTTGCTCATATAGCTAATGGACCAGTTCGTGTACGACCTTGGTTTGAACCAGGTTCATGGGGTGGTCAATGGTTAAAAACAGTTTGTACAAATATTTCAAAACATACAAAAAATTATGCATGGTCATTTGAAATGATAACACCAGAAAATGGTGTGATTATATCAGATGTAAATAATCGTCTTGTTGAGCTTTCCTGGGATATTTTTTACGGTTCACAAGCTGATAAAATATTAGGAAACAAAATTCATCGTGAAATTTTTAGTGGTACAAATGATTTTCCAATACGATTTGATTTTCTTGATACTATGGATGGTGGAAACTTATCTATACAATGCAATCCTAGTCTTCAATATATGCGTGAAAATTTTGGAGAAAAAATTACACAAGATGAAGCATATTATATAATCGAAACAAAACAACATTGGCAAAAAGAAGTTAAAAATGATATAACATGTTCATCATATATTTATCTTGGTTTTCATGAAAATGTTGATCAAGAAGAATTTCATCAAGCATTAGTTATAAGTAATAAAGACAAAAAAAATTTAGATGTTGAAAAATATGTACAATGTATTCCAACAAACGTTCATGATTTCTTTTTAATACCAAATGAAACTATTCATGCATGTGGTCGTAATCAAGTTGTACTTGAAATTTCAGCTACACCTTATATTTATACATTTAAATTATATGATTGGTTAAGATTAGGTCTTGATGGTCGGCCACGTCTTTTAAATATTGAACACGGTATAAAAAATTTAAAATTTGATCGTCATGGTGAACAACTTCGTTGTCAACCAATATCTCTTGCAAATGAACAAGATAAATATGAAGAACAACATTTGCCAACACATAATTTACATTTTTATGATGTCAAACGTCTTATTATTGAACCAAATGAAAATATTGAAATAATACGATCAACTGAAAATCGTTTTCATTTATGTATGTTAGTGCAAGGTGATGCTATTGAAATAGAATATAATTCACTTGATAATAATCAACATAAACAAATACGACAATATAATTATATAGAAACATTTTTAATTCCAGCATCAATTAATGAATATCGTCTAAGACCAATTATTAAAAATAAGCATAATGAAAAGAAATTACATAAATTTATTTTACTTACAGCTTTTCTTAAATGGGATTGTGAAAAAATTTTGAAATAAATATTTTTTAGAAAAAAAGAAAACAGCTATTTTATTGATGAAATAATAAATATATGCTGACTATCTAAAATAACTTCTTTTTCGAACATAGAAGAGATGTTTCAATTGATATGTAGGACAAAATTGATTGTTTTTTTCTATTTAATCTTTCAATAATTTTTTCAGTTGTATTATTTTGAAACTGTAGTAAATTTCATAGTTGCTCTGTTTCAAACTCTTTCGTAGAAATTTATTGATGAGTTTATATTAATTATTTAATTACTTGACAAATTTTATTTGACTTTTTAGTGATATGACAACGAGAAAATATTTATTCACAGTTGTAAATTATTTTTAAACTGTGTTAAAGTCGAATTCTCTATTTGAACATATGTATGTTCATTGTGTATTAAAGTAGCTTGAGACTTTTTTATTCCATAGGATCGTGATATGCATTCGAGAAACGAAATCAGTTCAATTCTGACAAATTCCGAATTTATTTCCTCTCTGTTACAGATATTCGAATATAAAAATGAACGTTGATCTATATCAAAAGTATAATATAGTGATCGAAAAGTGATTTCAAATAATGAAAATCTTGCTTTTGTTGAATACAACATGACTCATGAATTACTTTCTTCGAAAAAAGATCTACTATGAAATATCACACTTAACGTATGTTACTTTAGATTAGTCTTAATGAAATAATTTCTAAGAGTATAAAAATATAAAAAATTTTATGTAAAGTTAGTCGATGACGAATATTCATTCAGGAAAAATATTCACCGAGTAATTTGTGGTCAATTACTTGTTGAAGCTCTCATATCAATTTGTGTTCTGCTGTAGTCATGCACGAGTAAGTTTTACATTTGTTTACACCAATCTATATCAAGTAGGCACAGAAAAGAATAAATAATTATTTGCAGTATATACATCAGAAAAGACAAGTTGTCACTTATTCAAGAAACTAGATAAATACATTTTTCGTTCGTCATCTTATTATTTAATATTAGATGAGAAAAATGTATGACTTTATTTTTCCTTTTGTTTAATAGATTTTCTACATATAATCGCATAATTTCAATTTTTTGCGTACAATCGAAGTAACAATATTTACTGTTTCCACAAATAGTCGTCGATAACTGACTTTGAACTGTCAGTTATCGTTACCATCAATATTTGCTTCGAAAAGTAAAAGATTCTTTTATCAATCATCTCGAATTTGTTTGTTTTGCCGTAAATATCTCATGATATTTATCATCGTATTGTTTCTACTGGAGTTCGACACTTCAGAATAGAATTCTCCGAGTATTCTTTTCTTACTGTTGCAAGATATATCTATGGCGATGCGTTAATTGTTCAATTTTTGAGTGAAATAAACAAACGTGATTAACCAATGCAGCATTATTCTGTCATGAAAACTTAGACATATTTCATGTGTAAAACAAAAAAAAACGAATTTTTGCTTTTGCTTGAATTGATAAGAAAAAACTTGCTCATACAGCAAGCTAAAGCCATTAAGATGGTTTCTTTCTTTCAACTGTAAAATGACCCACTCTAGTTATTTTTTCTTGTTATTGACTTTAACACTATATACTTATTATTAAACAAAATAAAGGTTGCTCATTTAGATAGATATCAAATGTAATCATTATAATAACTATGCAGATGATCTTATTTGTGATTGCTAATATCCAACTTATGGATACAGAATAGAGATCTGCAATGGATGGAGTCGAAATAAGCAAACATATTTTGAGTGCCAGTAGTTGACGTATAAACAAATGTTCGCTAGCATATTTTGGACACCCGGTTGAATATATATGTTGTTCATTGCAGAAATGTTGTAGCCAATGAAAGAGTTACGTGGAGTTTTCAAAAAACAAATTTAATAGAAATACGTAATATCTATCGAAAACTTTATATTTCTGTTCAAGATTCGACCTAAAGGTACCCATTGAAATATCAAATCAATCCGGTTCAGCTCATTGAGACCTCTGATGTAGAACATTGTCTTATAAACAAAGTATGCCTGCATTATATGTCGACGACATGACTCCATGAAAACATAAACTCATCGATTGAAAGAATACAAAAAACAAACATTTATCTGAAAACAATCGACTCATGTATATAGAAATTAATTTTATAAATAAATTCAAGATCAAATTTTTAAAATGAATCGTTTTTTAACTATTTTCGTTTGAGAGTTGTTTACAGATAAACTGACCTAATGTCACATGTGAATGCTCGTTTTTTGAAAATTTTCACAGAATTTTTCGTTTATGATAGTTCTGTTATAAAAATTGTAAAACTATCTGTATTGTTGGGATTCTTTCACAGATCATATTTTATAATTTTCTTTAATTTGTAATGGTAAAAGAAAATTATTTTAACCAAAAAATGCTAGAAATATAGTGTGCATATATATATATAGGTATATTAAAACTGTTTATCGATGTATCGAAAAACTATACTGTGTTTTCTCGAATTGTATGAAATTCATTAATTCAAAACGACCATACCATTGTTACTACATACGCAAAAACATTAATGGAAACTCTACTCAGTGTGTCTTCTAAAAAATGAATCTCCCATAGAATGAATTTGAAATAGTAGTTCAAGATAATAATTAGATATTTTGAAAAATTTTTAATTGGTACCCGAGTTTAAATAGTCATCTCGTAAACAGAAATTGTATTCCCTACAGATTCTTATTTGTTCATAAAACTTCAATCATAAATTATGATACTTTAATTCTGCTAATACTAGATCTTTTTTCTGTGATTTCTTCTCATATATTTCTGTTTATGTAAAAGAATGCTAATATTAGAAGTAATTTGTACTATAAATATAACTCGATACGCGATGATCAAAAAGCAAAAATTATAAGATTACAAGATTCATTAGTATCTTAATATTGAAGTCAATTTATCTTAACCATTTCGTCACGTGGATCTCATATATCGGATAATGGCATTTTTCTTTAAATGCAGTTATTAAGTTGTATTCGAAATACAATTTGACATTATTATCTAAAGAGCTTTTTTCTATTATAATGAGAGAGTGAGAGACACTGATGATAATTGAAGTTTTGCAATAAATAAGGTGCAACTAATTCGAAATTTGAGCACTCTTCATTTTTTCTTTAGACATACATTTCTAGATTCAATTTTTCAGTCTGACTTCGGATATTTTCTTTTTTT